AATTAATTTTCAGGAGCTGGAAGGATAATGCAGTAGGTAAGGAGCTTGCCTTGCTACGGTCCACCTAGATTCGACCACCAGCATCCCTCTAAGTCCCCAGGAGAAATTCCTGCAGAGTCAAGAGTAACTCCTCTGTTAGAAAAGATGATGTCATGAAATTTACATACAAGTGGTACTACATGGAAAGTATCATGCTAAGTGAAATGAGTCAGAAAGAGAGGGACAGATATAGAAAGATTGCATTCATCTGGGAAATATAAAGTAACAAAATAGGAGACTAACACCCAAGAATAGCCGAGATAAGTACCAGGAGGGTCACTTAATGGCTTGGAGGCTAGCTACACATGCTAGGGGAAAAGGCAGCTCAGATAGAGAAGGGACCTCCAAATAAAGGGTGTTGGGAGGATCCTCCCAGGATGAGAGATGCATGCTGAAAGTAGACTATAGACTGAACGTGACTGCCACTCAATGCCTCTTTTGCAAACCACAGCACCCAAAAGGAGAGAGAAAACAAAAGGGAATGCCACAGGGGTGGGGGGAGGAATGGGGGGTGGGAGGGATACTGGGAGCATTGGAGGTGGAGAATGGGCACTGGTGGAGGGATGGGTACTCAATCATTGTATAACTGAAACTCAAGCAGAAAAATTTGTACTTCTACAACTGTACCTCATGGTGTTTCACTAATAAAAAATTGTTTTTAAATTAAAAAAAAAGAGTAACTCCTAAGCACCACCAGGTGTGACTCAAAAAACAACAACAACAAAACAATTTTCAGTAATAAAAGGGAATAGAAGCAACCACCTGGAGATAAAATATATATAATATGGAGACATTTCATTGAATTTTTTTTATTAGTGAAACACCATGAGGTACAGTTGTAGATTTAAATTTTTTATTTAACAAAATTAACTTTAGTGGGTATGGTGCTGCCCAGCAGGTCAACCTGTACTTGTAGAGAGAGTGCATCAGCAGTTTGACGGTGCCCTCAGGCTTTCTGATACTCCCAAATTGCTGCTGTGCCTCTGGCCAAACCCCAACAACTTGGGACCAAGATTCCCAAGAAATTAAACAGCCAAAAGTTAGGTATGTGGGAGTCACGTCCACAAACCATCTCCAGCTCAGCTGTACAAGCTCATTTATCAGCCTTGCTTCAGAGACCAATAAATAAATCCCGAAAGAGATCAAAATCAGGCCATTTAAGCACATTAACAGCCATGATTCAGAGACTCACAAATCTTAGAAGAGAGCAGCACACTGCAGAGATATCTCTCCATCCCATGCGAGGCTGATTTCACGAGGACATCTTAGAGGTGGGCAGGTGTCCATCTTCCTACCCCAAATGAACCCCAGCAGCCACAAACCTCCAGAACCCAATCAAAGCCATGCTCACAGCCTACCTTCACAGGCTCATCATAAGCCCCCACGCATGAGAATGAAACTGCTGAAAAACCCAGGTATGCAGGACTAGTGACTGAAAACTCCAGGTTTCCTGGAGTCAGAAATGGGCAACCTCCCCCCATTTCCCCACCCTTCCGGTTTCCTGGCTGTCATACTCACCAAATGCCTCTGCATACCATTTAAGCTTACTAAAGGCCATGATTCAGAGACTCACATGTGAATCTTGGAAAAGAGCAGCACACCACAGAGATGCCTCCAGACCCCAAAACGTTTTTAAAAATTTAAGAATTCCAGGACATCTCATACTATTCATAACAAGCAATACAAAATAAATTATTTAGCAACTGCCTACGGGACAGGCTTGGGTGGTGATGAGAAAATTCAAAATAATGATGGTGGGAAGGTGTATTCATGGTGGGATCGTTGTTGAAATGTTGAATGTAAACAATTATTGTGAACAACTTCATGAAAAAAAATTAAATTTTTTAAAATATTAACTTTATGGAAAATCCCAACAACTTCCTCTATATATAAAAATGAAGAGAAAGTAGTATTATTAAGTAAAAAGCAGCATACATGCTATTACTCATAAAACATTACTTAAAATTATGTTTCATGTGCAGATAATTTTGTGTCTTTAGTACAGCGGGGAGGGCGTTTGCCTTGCACACGGCCAACCTGGCCAACCCAGGTTCAATTCCTCCGGCCCCCTCAGAAAGCCCGACAAGCTACTGAGAGTATCTCACCTGCACAGCAAAGCCTGGCAAACTACCTGTAACGTATTCTATATGCCAAACACAGTAACAAGTGTCACAATGGAGACATTACTGAGCCCGCTCAAGCAAATGGATGAACAACGGGAGGACAGTGACAGTGACAGTGATATGTAACATTACATTTATTTTGTTAGAAATAGATAAGTTGAAAAGTTATCTAAAAGTGGGTATGATTTGAGATAATTCTGACTTCCTTCCTCAGGTTTCTTTTGCAATATGTACTTTACATAATCTACATACATTATCTACTCTGTATATCTACTTTACATGCAGTCACGAGTCATTCAACAATGTTTCATATATAACAGACCCCACAAAGAATGGGGATCCCTTTCACTGCACCACCGAAGTCTGATGTTTGTGGAGAAAATGTCACCTCACACATCTCTCGCATGCAGCTGCACTATTAAGCAACACTTGACAATTAAAAGCTTTTATGTACATCCAATCCCAGAGAACATGCCTTTGTTATTTTTAAAGCTTAAGACTGAAAAATTGGAAGCAAACAAGATTTGAGCTTTGTAGTGAATCACTTCTGAAAAAACATCAAACTGACATAACTCAGTTTTAATTTAGGCCTCCACTCACTGAACACAACAACCCCTACTTTTGAAATATACTTATCAGGCCTTCTACCATTGATCTTATTTTATTTTTGGAGAGGGGTGTTGGGACACACCCTGTGATGCTCAGTGCTTATTTCTGACTCTGTGCTCAAGGATCATTCCTGGTGGGGTTCAGGGAAACCATATGTGGTACCAGGGATCAAACCCAGGTTGGCAGCAAACCAAACAAGCACTTTTCCTGCTTATTATCTCTCCAGCACATATCAGTAAGTCAATGAGAGATTTTTTATAATTTAATTTTTTAAACTTGAAACGGGTGGTGTTGGAGGATGGGTGAATTGATGGAGGAAAGTGGACACAGGTGAAGGGATGAGTGTCGAAACACTGCATGCCTGAAACCCAATCATGAATAACTTTGTACTTTCGCAGTGACTAAAAAGAAAAAAAATTAAGCTTTTTAAACTCTCAAAACAACAGGAGCTATGAACTCATCTTTTTCTTTTTAAAGGTTAAAGTCTTTCAAGCACTTACAGAACATATCTGTCATGGGGGTTACATAAATATGACAAGATGTTATCTGATTACTTTTTAAAACCCTTATCTGTTAGATAAATACTGAAGCATTTACTGGAATGATAAAATATTTAAGATTTCCTTTAAATACTCTAGCAAAAATAAAGTGGTGAGAGGAAACAAAACATGTGAGGACAGTGAACAACGTGTGAGTTTGGGGGTGGGTACCATTACTCTATTCTACACAGTATAAAATATATTTTCTACAATACCTTTTCCCCCAGTAAGCAAATGGTTAAACTCAAGACAACACATATACTTAGCCAAGTACTCTACCCCTTAGCTCTATCCCCACCCATAATTCTTCTTAAAGGTATATGGAAAATGTAAATATATAAACCTGCAGAGCCACTCCATCTACCGTTCCTCCAATGTACAAAAATCAAACTCTTTAAATCCAGGTTCACTAATTCAAAGAAAGCTTGATATATGTTTATCAAGGAAAAAAATATCTTTCATATGTACCTAAAAGATTTGACTGAGTTGCAATTTTTTCCTTCTTTTTCTATTTCTTTTCTTTGTGGGGGGGGGAGAAGGGGACCACACCTGGCTTTTCCCAGGGTTTACTCCTGGCTCTGTGCTCAGGGATCACTCCTGACAGGGCTCAAGGGACCATGTGAGATGCTGGGGATCGAACATGGCTCAGCTACATGCAAGGAAAGCACCTTACCTAATGTACTACCAATCTGATCCCTACTGCAGATTTTCTGATCTGAGCCAGAATCAGACAAAGAGAACCAGCCAACAGGGATTCTCTGAGTGTCTGGCTTGTGATACTCAGAGAATCAAATGAAAAGCATGCTGACTCGAGCAGCAGACATTCCCTATCCTCTTTGGAGATCCGTTTTCCAGCCTGGCACACAGTAAAGTCTTGGCTACTTCCAACTGCTCTACCCCAAGTCAGCTGCTGGGCAACACTGGAACTCAACAGAAGTTAACCAACCAAGATCAATTTCATCACTTTTATACAATCTATTCTCAACAATAGTTGCAAAGGAGAATATGAATGTTAAGGATCTGAGACTCACACCCTCAACCCCCCTGACAAATGACTTGCCAAGGTATATATAAACCTGCAGTGCCACTCCATCTAAACCCATATACTTTCAGAAGATGGAAGATGTTCACAACCCAAGGGTTTTCCCACATTATCACTAGCATCTCCCTGAAGAGGTTGGTAATGCCTGTGTTCTTTCATTGTACAGACTCAGAGCTCAGGTTGAAAGACTTGCTCTCAAATGGCAGTCCTTCACCTCCACAGGCCCTGTTCTTTTCTCAACACTCCCCTTGGAGAGTGTCAGCAACGGGAAGAAAGAGGCAATGAATACTTCAGAAAGTGAGGCGGGGCTGGGGAGCGGTAAATTCTGCTTAAGTCTTTATTTGGTTCCAACACAGAGGCTGGAACCCCTGACCCGATTACTCACCCCTCAACCCCTGTTTCTGGGGGTGCTCTGATTTCTGAGCTCCCCCAGAGGCCATCTAAGGACCTGCTTAAACAAAGACCCAGAAACACTTGTTTTGAAAACCAGGAAGGACTGTGGTTGAGAGAAAGTTTTGTGGCCAAGATTGTAAAGGCTGTCATGAAAATGGCACAAAGGAAGAGAAGATGGTGGAGCAATAATCACAATGCTCAAGTCCCCAGGACCACGTAGCCCAGAAGCAAGCAAAGCCTCACAGCAAAGCCTACCTCTCTGACTTCGTGAAGCTGGCCGGAATACTGACTCTTGGCTCTTCGGGCAGCTGCAGGCGACTTGTGATGCGTGACTGTGACAACGCCGGGGGCCCCCGCAATGAGATGTCTCTGGCTACAGGGAGACGCAGAATTGGGTGTTCCATGGGGGAGCAATGTGAGACTTCGGCTTCGGGAGCTTGGAGTAGTCTAGAATAAGCAACAGGTGTCAAAACTCAACAACCGACCTGCAGAATACAGCTAAGTACTGACTTCTGTTTAGTCTAGACCTCATGCTCTTTTGTTTCTTTGAATTTTGGGGGGGTGGCTCTAGGGGGGAGGGGACACACCTGGTAAGCATGGTTCCCCTTAGTAAGCTCAGGGCTTACTCTGTGGTCAGGAACCACATGGTTTGGAGAACCACATGAGGTAACAGGGATAGAACTCAGATCAGCCATATGCAAGACAAGCACTGTCCCCCACTATACTTCCTCTATGAGCCCTGGACCTCATACTCCCTCCCCTTTATCTATTTAGATGGCAGAATCCCCAAGATGTTGGATAACATTGGGTTATCCTTGCTCCTCCCGCAGGGAGCTTAGGTTTATTGAGTTACTCCCACAACAGTGCCCCTGAGGCACACCCAATTCCATCTAGCACTAATAATCCTATATGGTTTTTCTCTTTTTTTATGTCATTTTCATAGTTTATTTAGCAATGTCCTTTTTGTATAGACACAGGAAGGTAGTTGATGCTATGCTTTGTAACATGGGAGTTGACTTTAAATAATATTTACTCCTGGGCATCCAACATATTTACTTGACTTAATCCTCAGTTGCCTTTATTTCCTAATACTCCCCAAAAGGAGGGTCCCAATGAAGGAACTGGATGGCCCCAGGGCAAGCTGTAAGTTACCCTGGCATTAAAAGGGGACAAGCCAAGCCCCATAAGTATAATAAGAGCATGGTCATGGAATGAATTGTTATGACCAAAAAAGAAGTAACTGAATAAGGACACTGGTGGGGCTAGGAAAGACTAACCTTGCCTAAAGACTGTAGTCTGGAATATATAGTGAGATATCCCCAGGAAGAGCAAAACTTTAAGATATAGATATATATAGATATATAGATACAGATATATCTATATATCTATATATATCTTAATCTCCTGCCTCCCACGCCAGGTTGTCTTCAGTAGGGCCCCTCGGGGGGGGGGGGGCGGGTTGAGTTTTCCTCCCCACCCCAAGCAGAACCCCAGCAGATAAAAACCTCTAGAACCAGCCACCACATCCATGCTCGGGGCTGCTCTCCACGCACTGAGACGAGTCTCAAGCATGAAGGAATCGGCAGAGGAACCCAGGTATGCAGGACCCGGGGCTAAGATCTCCAAGCCTGCGCGGATCAGGACTGGGCCTCCTCCATCCAGATCCCCCATTTTCCAGTAGCTTGACAGTCACATCCACAAACTGACCCCCCTCCCCCACCGTGACATGTAATCCCATCAACAGCCAAGATCCAGAGACTATAAAACACAGCTCCCAGAAGCATGCAGCCGCAGATGCAGCCACACAACCTCTTATAATCTAGCCCACTGATGCACCTAAAGCAGCACACATGTGTTTGGTTTTAACATTCTTGCCTGTATTCTCTTAATTACAATCTCCATCTCTCTTGGAGAGCCCAGCACACTACCGAGAGTAACCCACCTGCACAACAGAGCCTGGCAAGCTCCCCATGGCGTGCTTGATATGCCAAGAACAGTAACAATAACGGGTCTCATTCTCCTGGCCATGAAAGAGCCTCCAATATGGCACCATTGGGAAGAACGAGTAAGGAAAAGCTGCTAAAATCTCAGGGCTGGGACAAATGAAGACGTTATTGGCACCCACTTGAGCAAATGAATGAACAATGGGATGACAGTGATACAGTGACATATATGTGTGTGTGTGTGTATATATATATATATATATATATATATCTTACTGTGTTTATACAAAATGACTAGAAATATTATAAGAAGTAAATTTAGTATGATTGGTTAAATGGATTACCAGTTGAGGAAAGGAGAAAGCAATACACCCTAGATGGAACCCGGCCTTGAGTGGATCTCCTAGTAATCTGGAGTGATTGTGTCTTTGAGTTAATCTCCTAGAACTTCCCCTAAAGGAGTGGCTTTACCTCTGTTTGTTGTTATGATAATGTTCAAGCTCACCTATTCAAACCCCCACCCTTCATAATTTCTATATAACTATGCTGTAAGGGGTAAGATGGGACTAGAAAGAGAAGGACTAGAGGAGAACTAGGAGGACTATGAGGAGACGAGGATGAGAAAACTATGATGCCTGGGACTACGACCAAAACTACTACTACAACTATGTTTGTGCTGTAAAAGGAGAAATAGAACTAAGCTAGGAAGGAGAGAGAAACAAACTGACTACCAACCAGCCCGGGGCAGAGGCCCTGTTTGTTTCTCCATTGCCACAGCCGTTTCTCCATTCCCCAAACCTTTGTCTGTCCGTCTGTCCATCGCCGTGGGCCAGCCAGGGGAACAGTTCTTGGTCAATGAACTATCTTGCCATTCATACCCTCATGCCTTTTCTCCGAAACTCACACCAAGGGAGCTGTAACATGATGAAAGCCCCAATCTTACCATGGCTTGAAGTTGGCATCGCCATGAACTATCCTGTCACCTCCTCCCACTGTGTCTCCTGTCCAACATGGTGGATGTGTTAGATTCCCAAAAATATGCTCACGGATGTGTCTCTGCACTTACTTATCCCTACTCCCCAAATGTCCTTCCTGTCCTGCTGGGAAACTCCAAATCGGAAACCTACAAGACTTAACTCAGTGCTCTTGGCTGTGTGACTCCTCTTCCCCTCCCAGTCACTCTCTCTGTTGTGCTTATCCCACTACCTTGACTTTTTTTTTCTTTCATTGGGCAGTAATTTTCTTAAGTACTTAAAAATGTTTGTTGCACAAATGAGTGTACTAAGTTATGACCAATTAATCTCTATGATAGTCTGGTGCTTGTATTTCATCCCATGAGATACAAGCAAAATTTTTAGTTTGTGATAAAGATGGAATCTCGATTTAGTGGAGAAATTTTCAATAACTGGTGGTCATGACTGTGATCGGGAAAACAAGGCTGGGTTCATCTCTCAGATCAGAGACCTCAAGTGGTTCAAAGACAAGTAGAAAAAAATTGAATATGTAGACTTGGGAGACAGAAAAGATCTACAAGTTCAAAATCCAAAGGCCATAAAAGAAAAGCTAAAAATTTTTTTTTGATTATCTAAAACCAGAAAATTTCTGTACAGGAAAAAGTCTTTAAGAAACCACTCCCACCACCACCAAAGCTAAATAATCAATGAGAAAAAAGTATCTTCAACTAGACACACAGACTAAAGCACCACCACTCTTGTTTATAGTAAGGAACAGAATCCCTTGGACAAGAATAAGAAAGAAGTGAGTTTAGAGGGAAAAGAACAGACTCAGAATGGTCTCTCTCAATTGTGGGATTTAAAGAAATGTTCTAGGGGAATATCAAATGTCCAAAAGCAACAGAAATGAAAATAACTGGTTTTTAGTAGGAAGCTTGCCTCTCGGGCAAGTTTGAGAGAAGGGACAGGAACACTAGGACAATGGGTGGAAGGGGAAAAAGTACCTGCCATAGAGGCAGGCTGGAGGCACAGGAGTAGGAGGGAGACTGAGGACATTAGTGTAGGGCATTGAACGCTAGTGATGGGACTGATGATGGAACATTGTATGCCTGAAATTCAATCACAAATATCTTCGCAACCAAAAATTTCAATTAAAAAAATAACAATGATTAAGACAGGACAAAATAAAAACAGTACACAAATATAATAGAGAGCTGGAACAATATTACTGACATCTATTTCAAAGTAAGTGGGCAGAGCACTTGCTTTGCATGTGGCCAACCCAGGTTTTATTTCGCGCACCCCATATGGTCCCCAACATGAGTAATTCCAGGGAGCAGTAATCCTGAGCACAGCTGAGTGTGGCCCAAAACTAGCCAAAAAAATATGAAAACATGCTCAGCTGTACTCGTAGATATAAATTCAAACCACAATTAGATGCCACCTTTCACTCATCAGATTGGCAAACATCCACAAGTCTGAGTATCCAACTGCCAACAAACTACAGGGAAGCACACAGTGACAGTAGCCCAGTAAAGGGAGGGGGTGGCGACTTACCCTGGCACTCCCTGTCACAGGTGTCTCCCCAACCCCCCACAATGGTAATGCCACCACTAGGAGTGGGTTCTCCAAATTCCATATTCTTAGACTGTGAGTGTAGTTTAGCTGAATCACACACACACACACACACACACACACACACACACACACAGCAATAGTAAAAGATTTCTGAATAGGCAGAAATGAATTTTAAAATTAACCGTGTAGGGGCTGGAGAGATAGTACAGAAGTAAAGTGCTTGCCTTGCATTTGACCTACCCAACTTCAATTCCCAGCACCACCTATGATCCCCTAAATCCCACCAGGAATGATTCCTGAGCACAGAGCCAGGAATGACCCCTGAGCACCACTAAATGTGGTCCAAAAAAGTAAAAATAATAAAGCAAAGCAATCAACTGCATAATAAACCCAAGGCATTTCTGGCAGTTGCTTGCCTGTGCTGTATTTCTCAGATGAAATGTGGTGGTAACTGAAAAAGCTGAAGCAGCCCTGCTCCAGACACCTGCACACAGGTGAAACAGGCAGGTGCTGCAGTAACTGCAGTGGGAGACTTAGTGGCAAACATGCACATCAAATCTAGGACAAGTGAAATAACAGTGGTACGACTCCATAGCATACTAGCAGCAGTGACAGGCAACTAAAGAGGGGCTAGGAGTCAATCTGAAGAAAAATGTTTCTAGAGTTAAGTGAAAAATGCAAGGTATAGAACTTAGTACACAAAGTTCTGTGTTAACTATGAAAAACAAGCACTTGTAATTTTCTAACAGTATGCCAGAAATTCTTCTTTTAAAATGGAGAGGAGCCACACCCAACACCCCACAGTTGCCACCATACTAACAGCCCAACTCAACTATTTCTCAATAACCTCTGCAGAATCACCAAACCAATAAAATTTCAGGCATACCAGTTTTCCAGCTCAAAACTCTAGGGTCTTCTCGGAGTGGGCGCAAGCAACCTCCTCGAGCACCCTCGTACTTCTGGAAACCCAGCA